TGCAGGCAGAGAGAGAGAGGAGGAAGCAGGCTCCCTGCTGAGCAGAGAGCCCAATGCGGGGCTCGATCCCAGGACCCTGAAATCATGACCTGAGCCGAAGGCAGCGGCTTAACCCACTGAGCCACCCAGGCGCCCCTACATGATTTGCCTTTTTCGCTTTCAGTGTGTCATGACTGTACAGTGGAAATTTCCAGAGGCCATTTGACGTGAATGATGTCATCACTTTGCTAATAGAATGGGTATTCTGTGTTTTCTAGTATGTTCTATGGTTGTAGGCTTAAGTATCAACATGTACATTTTTATAGAGATTAATAAAATTTTTATGTTCTCAGTAATTCTGTAATTAGCTCTTTGGTCACACCTGTCAGGATAGTGATAACCTCACTATTTTCAAATAAATAGTTATCTTGACATCTTGAACTTTTCTTCGCGTTTATGAGGAAAAATAACAAAAAAGTACACCGTTTGTCTTGATTTGAGATAATATTTTGAAAATATCTCAGTATCAATATGTGACATGATAAATACCATTAGGTAAAATTCAAATAAGTAAAGGGTCTTGAGGGCCCTTGATAGCCTTTAAGAGTGTAAGGAGGTCACAAGGTAAGAGTTTGGGAATTGCTGCCTCAAGTAATGAAGGCAGCAGGTGGACAGAGGACTTGTGCCAGGTAACATTTACATCCTTCCTTGTCCAAATGACATGTTAACATTCTTTGAAACATTCTTTGAGATTTCATGCTTTGATCAAAGTGGCTTGGAACTTACCGGAAATCAGAGGAAACATATTTCCCCCTTTCTAGTTTTTTTTTTTTTTTTTAAGCTATTATTTATTTATTTGACAGAGACACAGCAAGAGAGGGAATACAAACAGGGGGAGTGGGAGAGGGGAAGCAGGCTTCACACTGAGCAAGGAGCCCAATGGGGGGCTTGAATCCAGGACCCTGGGATCATGACCTGAGCCGAAGGCAGCTGCTTAACATCTGAGCCACCGAGGTTCCCCCCTTTCTAGTTTTTAATTCAGTTTCCACCCAATTCTTTTTTCTCGCCATAAAGACTATTGACTATTTTATCCTAATTATTTAGAATTGAGTTAATTCTTCCTAGGTTTTCTGCAGAAATTTTGTCTTCATTGATTCCTTCAAGATAGTGCTCTTTCTTTTCCCTTCTCCCAATCTCTTCATCCTTGGTTTCCATGTGTCCAACTTGTCTCTAACTTGTTTTCTTTCTTTCTTTTTTTTTTTTTTTTTTGAGAGCTTATTTATTTATTTGAGATAGAGAGTGCACAAGACAGGGGAGAGGGAGAGGGAGAAGATGTCTCCCCACTGAGCAGGGAGCCCAAAGAGGGGCTCAATCCCAGGACCCTTGGATCATGACCTGAACCCAAGGCAGACGCTTAACCAACTGAGCCACCCAGGTGCCCTTCTAACTTGTTTCTATGATAGATCCTTCTCCTCTTCAATCCTTTTGTTGTTTTTAAACAATGGGATCAGAAGAAGAGACCAGAAATGATTTCTTATGTTTGACATCCTAGAACAGGAAACAGCTTGATCAGAGCACTTGTTCTCCTGCTTATTTTCATTCATCTAGCCAAACTACATCACTAAGCCTGTGGATACAAAGATAAACACCATGGTCTCTGTTTTGGAGGAGAATTTAACCTAAATCTATATCTAAGAATGTGGGCCTATAAAGTTCTCATAAGGGCAAGAACTGATTTATTCATCTTTACAGCCTCCATGGTACCCAGCAGAGCACCTTTTATGTTGTTCATGCTCGATATTTTTTTCTTTTTTTGGATGGAAGCAATTAATTTTCGTGGAGGAAAAGCACTTCACACTATATTGAGAGAGGCAAATGGTCAGATGCCTCATGCTGTGGAATAAGCAGATGTGAACTTTGGTGACATTCCTTGGTAGAATGCATCCACCCACATATCTGGATATTTGGACCAAAACAAATGAGGCTTTGTGCTCTCATCAAATATCAGAGTTTATAGTCTGTGAGGGGAGTCAGATACAGAAATGAAAGTGTTTCTCAGTGGTGAATTACATCCCTGAATGTTTCCCTGTAATATTGGGTCCTAAACAATATAGTATTTGGCAGTATGCATGCAAACTTCAGCCATTATAGAATTACAAGATATTTTGAGATTAGATAACAAAGAAAGAAAAGAGAATACTAGTAAGAACATTGTCCACAACTGACAATTTCTTCTGTTATTTACTTGCTATGTTCATTTTCTTATTTTGTACCATTTACTTTTTAGAGTCACCATATTCTTATGCTTTTGTTCCAAAGAATTTTAAGTGCTTTTGTTCTGGCCATCTGTGGAATTGGGCCAGATACTATCATTCTCATTTTGCAAAGAGGGATGCTGAAGCATGAAGAAGTAAAGGGTCTTGAACAGTCATTGGCCAAATAGTAGCCTGGCTCTTCATTCTTCCCAGTGCTTTTTTTGAGGTATTAACAAGCAATGGAAGGCAGTAGGTAAAACATTTTATTTATTTATTTATTTATTTATTTATTTATTTGACAGAGAAAGATCACAAGTAGGCAGAGAGGCAGGCAGAGAGAGAGAGGAGGAAGCAGGCTCCCCGCTGAGCAGAGAGCCCGATGCGGGGCTCTATCCCAGGACCCTGAGATCATGACCTCAGCCGAAGGCAGAGGCTTAACCCACTGAGCCACCCAGGTGCCCCGGTAAAACATTTTTTGATTTCAAAAGAAACGAGGAGAAAAAAGGAGCAATGAGATGAATGGACTTGGATTTATTTATCTATCTATTTATTTATTTCTATTATGTTCAGTTAGCCACTCTATAGTACATAATTGATGCAGTGTTCAGTGATTCATTAGTTAAGTATAACACCCAGTGGACTTGGATTAATGTGATAATGCATCTCTGAATTTAAGCATATACCCACCCATTTACCTGTGTGAACTCAAGAATGAAATGGAAACTCACTTTACTGTGTGGGCATGAGGACTGACTCAAGGACTGTGACAGGAAATGTGAAGGTTGCGGCCATGAAGCTTTGCAATGTAAGGCTACCTCCACATCCTTAAAGACACACTGATGACTATGTCATTAGCCTACTCGGAGCAGGAGCTGCAACTTACTGAACTTGATGTTTCTGTGACATTTTAGTCTTGACATTTCAACAGCAGTTGTTTGCTGTTTTCATTCGTTCCAGTAGGTGGAAAATGAAAGACTCCTCCTGTTCAAAGTTGATTATATGTCCAAGTGCAGGTATGTTCAGATTCAACCAATAGGCAAAGGGACTAAAGATTTAATTTTTAAACATTTGCTTAAAACCCTCTAAAAGAACTTTTGACTACAGCTCATATTTAACTCTATCATTTAAGAACAATGATTAATAGCAAAACCAAATAAAAATCAAGAGCAATGTGAAAGGTAATCCAATTTCATGGTCACCTGGCTCTGCGTCATGCTGTGGGTTGTAATAAGAGCTATATGTCATGCTTTAAAGAACCGGTAATCCTTACAGTCCCAACAGGACACATCCAAACTTGAATCGGCGTGCTTCCAAGCTGCCCTCAGGGGCCTGTGACAGGGACCTGGGTCACAGCTGGTCACAAAAC